CGATTTTGCTAGACCTCGTCGGCAACGCTTTGTAGAAATCGCTTTGCTTAGGAGTATGCTACAAAACAGTGTGACTCTCATCACAGAGAGGCGTCTGACACTGGCAGTAGACATGTGACATGCCTCACTGTTTACTCGTGGCTCCTCGTGGAGACCACATTCACCCACTTTGCTCTTGCTACACAAGATTTCACTGCATCCGTTCTGTGAGCCGTGTGTGAGTCCCACATCATAATGTGACGCGTATGAGTCAATTCATCCAGACACTCGTCTCCATGCAATTGAGATGCTCCTTCCTCAAGTGGTCCTCTCATTCGTGCCCCACGTTTGCCCATCATTGACGACATGCTTTGGGCTCTCGACAGCTCACGCAAATGGAGGAATGCGAGGAGGGCAGTTTGAAGGTGGTAGACACTCCTTTTGATTGCAATGAGATGCGGATGTTGACTTATTTAGGGGGAATTGGAAGTAGTTTAAACCGCAGGTATTGACATATGCATAATCGTCACCTCATCTCCTTGAAAAGATGCCTCACCTCAACTTGCTTTGCCACGTTTCATTGGCAGTCAACTGTCTTTCCTCACCAAGTAACTTCGTAGAGAGGTATTTCTTGGGTGTGAGGGGAATGGTGCATGGAGAATGGTTTGTCCGCCCTCTTGTCTACCGTCCGCATGACCCTGCATGCGGAAGAGTAAAAATATGGATGCACTAATTTGGTGGGATACATATCAAAGGGACTGCAGTAATGAAGCGAGTGTAATGGTATTAACGAAATTGGCTTAAAAGGATTATGACATACCGTCTAACTCTTGCGACAGTAGTAAGGCTTTACCAGGAGACGAAGCGTTGTAAATGGTGGAAGGGATAGTAGACGTAGACAGGGAGGGGAAGTGGAAAGAAGTGGAAGTAAAATAGCGAAATGAAGATGGAGAGGGAGCTGTGGAGAAGTAGGATGCTATGGAGACGTGTATAAACCGTACTTGTTCACCAACTTATTTGCGCTCTGCTGTTTACTGTTCCTCTTTTATTTCACCACGCTACTTTCCGATTTCTTCACGGAAGCCGCATCCAAGCCTCATACACCACAAATGCCGCTGTCTTGCTGTGCGCTAGGGATTGCTAGAAGGAAGATGGTGTGTTACAAATGGCAAGCAGATGGCATGGAGAAGAGGGACTGGCCACAGATGAGTACTAGATTGGTAAGTATTGAAAAACTGGTGGTATGGCATCGCTTTGCACTCGGATGGAACCAGTCTAAGATGATATAGCGGAACTATCGATTGCAATATGAGATCACCTTGTTGGTATTTAAGCAAGCATTGTAATTAATGTGTCAATCAATCGGGCGATCGGTCAGACAGTAAGATAATTTGCCAATGCATTTGTCAATGAATCAGCCAATCAATCAGGATATCAGTTTATTTGGGAGAGAAGAGAGTAAAGGGGAGGTGCAGGCGCATCCTTATCGAAATGGCGCACCGACCCACTGAGGTTCCTGGTTTCTGTTAGTTGTGGGCGAATTCATATGGTCATCCCAAAACTCTATCAGATCAGCGCATGGTTAGCACCATTTAAAATGGTTGAGTTAGCCAAATGCATCAAAATTAATCCTGAAAAGATTAAATCGTAATTTTTGAACCATACATTTAGTCTTATTTACTTCGATTATAAAACATGACAAATGGTCAACATGATGTTATTTACTTCGGGATATTATGCGTAGGACAACATTATTTGACACGCAAGAAAGCAAAGCACTAGTAGTCAAAGGCAAATTGTTTTGTCAGTTCTTTTCTGCTTGTTTTATTATTTGGTTTGACTCATTGCCTTGACCTACAAAAACCATTTTAAATACCGCACGTTTAAAATAGGCTTGATTTGGTCTGACTGTTATATGCATTTCTATTTTTCATATGCGCTATCAGAGTACACATAGAAGCACCAACTGCAATAAAACAGGTCTTTTTGTACTCATGCAACAATGCTGACAATATTATAGCGTCCCGACACTCCCTGAAGAGGAAAGAAGACACAATACTCGGGCAGAATGTATATAGTCAGCGCAGAGAAGGTGTCTGGGCTATTGGCATGGCTTAAAAGGTTAGCCCACCCAGCATGGTACAAGGGGGCTAATTCAAAATACAAGTGGGTGCCTCACCAGTACCGAGGGATAAACCACTATCGTATTATAATATGATCAGTTTAAAATTCGCAAATAAATATAGTCAAATTATTGACATGTTGGCATTTCTAAATATTCGCCTTCTGGAAATTTTTCCTGACAAAAGATTTTCAAAAATATTTGCCTTACAATGTACAGCTAATGTAAATTCCTTAATTTTTTTTGTCTTAATAAATTGTTTTCAATTCGTGTCCGAGGTATCAAATTCTTTTCATTATAATGTAAATTTCTATCATCCTGTGCAGTCGCGTTTACTTTCAAATCTTTTTTGCTGGTCTTTGTTTGTCTAGGCTACTCCAAACGCCCATGATTTATGTCTTATATGGCTTCGCATGTACATAATGCACAAGTTAATTCTATCCCTAATGCAAAAAAATCGGCATTGATCTCAAAATGAATCTTCCGTACATACACATTACATTTGAGCAGAAACGAATAAATCAAAGCTGCACAATTATTCCTGGGTGTCTTTCTATTCTTGCCTTGACTTGACTACACTGTCCTCCCTGCTTCAAACCGAATATGGAAAATTTGTGAAGAAATACTTGGAAGTGTCAATTGCGTTAAGAAGTCAAGGAACTAATTTGTAGGCCAGTCAGGAAAGTGCCGCAGGTGATATTTAGGAATGCGCCCTCACAAAGGAGGATTTACTAACCTCTCGAAAAAAGCAACAACACGAAAAGGGGACAGAGTTGCCTTTGCGGATGCCTTGGCAGGGAAACAGCCGTGCACTCCACCGAGAGCAACTTCACGGAGGCAATGACAGCTCCAGGAGGCAATGATGAGGTCAAGCACTAACTCTAGCGCACTTGCTCACAATGCGAGAGAAGGCGTGAAGGGAGGTGCGATTCGTGGGCCTTGTGCTCTACCAAGCAAAAAAGGCAAACAGTAAAGAAATAAGAAAATATCCATATTTGAGGAGGGGAAGTAGGAAAGAATTCACAGAAAGCCTGGCAAATTTGTACAACAAGAAACGTGCTAGAGCATCATTTGAGCTGCCTCATACAAGACCTACAGTAAACAAGCAAAGGCTCCAATGCCTATTGGTTCCGCCACAGAACAATTAAAAAAGGGAATGAAGCATTTCTCTAGTTCTAGATTCCGCTCAATGTTTGTCATCAAGGATCCACTCTATACGATCTGCTCCTTACTAATGTAGCACTGCCATAAGAAGACACTGTCTTGCAAAAGCAACGCAGAACACTGCCAGAGAGGATGCAATGCCAGGTCATGAAGCACTAGTGAAGTGAGAAACAAAGCCCCTCACATGTCCCTTTCTCTCTGTCCAAGTCACTGTCACCATGATGTACAAGAGAAATGCATTACACATACACCAAAGGGGAATGGCATAAATTCCAAAGCCCATTATTTTAGCAATGAAGAAAAGAAAGAGGAGAAACCGTACATAGTTGCTCCCACCTCCCACAGAGCACTTGCCGACAAAGATTTACCCTATGCCAATTAATGCGAAAAGAGGAAGCAATGAGGTAAGTAGGCATTGCAGAAAGAAGTGACAAAGCTTAAATAGCGTTATTATGCTGGAAATATAAAGGTAAAAAGTGCAAATAATACTAATTAGATAAAAAAACTCTGAAGCAAAAGCAATTGAAGTTAGAAGATACTGTTGATAGAGTTGAGACCAGCAAAAATAACAGAATTAAAGGTCAGAAAAATTGCACGCGCAGAAAAAAGGAAATAAAAGAAATAAAGTAAGAGAGGAAAGAGACCAAGTGAGGGTACAGGTAAGCACTAGTGGGGGGAAAAGATAGCTCCGCTCTGCCCTGCTTCGCTATACCTCACACTGCCGCCGCCATGGCTTCCCACGACACTTACAGCAGTACAAAAGCGGCATCACATCTTAATTAAGCCGTCCACGATTACCGCCCTTCGGCTTTTGCATTTACTTACACTAGAGAGTACCTCCGAATTCAAATGACTTCGAAACCAAATGTTCCAATCACCGATACCAGAGATGGTAATACCCTGGCTTAAAAAGTGTCGCCTTGCCTCACACACTTCGTCCACTTCATTTCAAGGAAATGAATACTTCTCCCACGAGTCTGCTTAACCTTACAGATTTTGCCTTTCGAAAAGAAGTTAATAAATGTGTACAAAATTATGTACCAACGAAAAAATTAGTAACACAAAATTACCGAGACATCATCACAGCTTGGAAAGGGAGAGTTAGTGAACAGGAATGGAGAGGGTGAGGGGTTTGGGCGATGTTGCACTGTTTCTCTTAGAATCGCTGCCAGAGGAAGGACTGACCGTTCGAATGCAGCATTTATGGTCACTTTTCACAAATCAAGAATTTCCGCATTTAGAAGAGAACACACTGTGCTAATCTTGAACGGTTCCACCAATGATTGATCAGGCAAATTGTAGGTTCACATACAAAAGTGCACATTCTGTAGGGCAGAAAAACACCACGCACAGAATCGTCAATAACATTTCTCTTTTTGAGATCGTCATCGAGACGTTGGCATCATTTAAATGATGCACCGGTGCAAGATTACGTGTCATATTGCCATGCTGAACTTGTAGTAGATATCCACGAAATCGAATCTGATGTCTTCGTTACCTGCCATCAGCTGAATTCTTGGAGAATTCATGTACATGGTACAAAATGAGGCCCCATCACTTATTCATGGCATCATTGCTGCTAATGCTGGTAACTGTAGCAGCAGGCAGCATATCTCATACTACATTCGCATGGGTCCACATCCACACCGATTACCTTGTGAGAAAACACCTAACGGATACACTAAAGAGAAAGACTGGTTACTTAAATTCATTAACCTGCAAGTAAATAATGAATGATTGAAGGTCTCAGGGGCTAAGGACTAAAGTAAGCAGTCCGTAGCGGAGGGCAGTAGAAGTAAGTGGAACGGGAGTTAATTCACGGTACATCTAATGAATAGCTCAGAAGGACTAGAGACTTTCAATTTATGCAAAAGAAGTACAACCATTCTCTCAAGACACCCTATTTCTATGAGACAAGGTAGGTATGACCTTGAAACCAGTTGCTTAAACATTTACTCAACATTAACGTGGGTGGTGTTTCGTTTTTGTCTGTTGGGGTGGGAAGTAGGGAAAAAGAAATAAGTAGAAGCGAGATTGAAATATAGTGCACTTATCATCTTGGCCCTTCCCTTAAAACGTCATAGAGGGCAGGGATAATTAGGATGTGGAGAAGCAAAAGTGCCTACTTCTGGATGGAGGCTGAAATTAAAGTTGGTGCTATTTTATGCCTACTTATGCGCTAGTCTGACCGTCACATAGCCACATTTAAGCATTTTTTTAAAGCTAGCAAGCCAGTAAAGCGTGAGATTAAATTAGAGAAATTATAAAGGAGGAGGAGGCCTGTCATCTAATGTGTTGTCACGTCTTAATTCAGCTAGTTCTGCCCTTCCGCCAGCTGTGAACGAAGTACCAACTGTCGTGCACTCGTCGAAGCGGTGACCTTCTTCCTCCTCTCAAGTGTATATTTTTTCATCGTTAGGAGGAAGAATAGATCGCAGCAAATGGCTGCTCTCACGGCTACACAATGACGCATGAGTGAGAATCCCTGTCCACTTAGTCATTATTGCCACTCTTCATCGTCTCCTTTCATCCAACCCCAAATCGTATCCCGGCTGTAGCACACGTTGCTACGCTCCTCGTAGCTGCATGAACTAATACTTCGGCCAGTGGCATCCTACACTCACCCTGCTAGACATGTGTGCATACGTTACTGGCATTAAAGCACTCTCTCTCTTCTTTCACAAGTCCGCCTCTCTGCTTTTGTCGGGTTATAGTGGGGTTGGGAAGCGAGGATAATGCAGCAGCGGCACCGTGTCGTCTTATTGGAAGCTTACATCAGTAGGCGACAATGATATCAGATTTTCCACCCCCACCCCCAACACAACACTGTAGTACTTTGCAATTTTTCCGGCGATGGTGTGTGTGTGGATCTTGTAGCGCTGCCGCACCCAGGTGATTTAATGCACGCGCACCCCCCCAAAAAGGAATGGGTTCGCTTTTCACTACCACTAATCCAGCGTCGCAAGGCTTCGCCATGCACGAAAGAAAAGGAAGACATTATACTCCGTCGGCAGATGTATTGATGTTTGCATGCATGCATGGGTGGATGGATGGATGTAGAAACACGGAGGAGGAAATGGAAAAGCGACACTGTGAGTAGCTGTCGGTTAAGGGCTGATGACAAACAGTGGGCGTGATTCAGCAAGTTCCTATGTATTCGGGTGGGGCACGATTAGAAGCGATGTGAAGCGGGGAGGCAAGAAGAGGACCTACAAGTCCACACGCTTTTCGGCGCCAAAGTCCTCTACATCCATGACATGTCTGCAAGAAGAGGAGGAATAAGTCACTGCTCTCGTTCGATTCGCCTGATTAGCCAATATCACCCGCGCATTCACTTCAACTGTGTTGTGCCTAAGTCCTGCATTCCATCCACTTTCTACAAGTTACGGGAAAAGAGAACAAATTATGCAATCATTGAAGGCATGAGAACACACGAGAATAGCATGTAGGAGAATTGTTCCATGAACGTCCCAAATGCCCTCCATCCCGTCCCCTCCTCCGTCATGAAAATAGGTAAGTCGGGGATGTTGGAGAAGGCATAGCAGCCACCTGTCAGTAGTGCTAGCTGCAGCTCCAAAGGCGCAGCCGCCGTAATTGTGCTCAATGACTTACATTGGATGGTTGGTTTGAACCACTCCACGAGGATAATACAAATCCACTCCATCATCCATCCCATTGCCGTTATCATCACTCACACTGGGCTTAGGCTTCGGTAAAGTCCACGGGGCACACAACCGCAGCCCGTAGTGCGAGAATGTCAGCTCCACCTCCGACGCGTCTCCCTCATAGTGCTCCAGGGGGTGATTAGCTAGTCATTTCTTTACTCTACTCACGCATTGTGCAGCAATTCTCTCTGTAGTAAACAAAGGCAGCTAAGAGGAGACCCAAAAATTGTGCTCGGCGTCCTCTAACAACTCCTTCACTAAACCACGTTATGAAAAGACCTGAGGATATGGGGTAAAAACACGTTGCTGCCCAAAAACACATGCATCAAGTGTAGTAGTTTACGAAAGACACAAAAAGTGATGAATTACGAGGCGCTCCAACCCGACCAATGTGTGAGGTAAAAGCAAACTCGAGACCCTTATTTAGTCTTGCTTCATAATGCCTCCATGCATATATCATAATGTTCCCTTTGAAGATTGCATTCCTGCCGAATTTAGCCTTCAAAACATCACTGATTCAACTTAAACTAGGACGTTAAATTATTCAAACTTTTTGAACAAATACTGGCTCTTCAAAGGGATTGAGAGGGATGAATCAATGGATGACAGATGAATTGATGAAATGCAAGGGAATGAGTAGTGGCCACGAGGCATGATGCTGGATTCGGAAACATCCATCTGAATAGATGGATGGATGGATAGATGGAAGATGAAGAAAACATAGTAGGAAGTAGATAAATTAGCCAACTGAGACTGCATAAAGGCGTAGCAAACAACAGGCTTCAAGCCTAAAACGGGATGGTCATTCAGATGTCTTCTAATATCTTTTTCTGTTAGCAGCACTTCCTCAAGATGAGGGTATGTTACAAACGCCAACTTCCAGACAATGCTAGGATACTCGAATTACATCGCATTGAGTAAGCGTTCCAGGTATGGGTTACTAGTAGATAGTATTTTGAAATCCAATCAACGAACTAGCCCTTTGTCGAGGTTATGATATGAAGCCAAACATCCTTCAGTCCAAAAATAATGTGCCAGGATAAGAAATGAAATCTGAAAAAATTACTTTGTCAATTTCAAATTAACCCACGGTTAGAATTGTGATGACTGCAGCAGAAAACGGAAAATTGAAAAAGGATTAACGAACAGGGAAGTGCCTTTAACTACACCAAATTATGAAAAGTCAGAGGGCACAAAGGGCAAAAGTACGCTACTGCGCAGATAACGATGCGCGTGCATTGAATGCTTCATCATTGGTATGGGCAAAAAGACATGACAAGCGATAAATTGGCAGGCGTTGTCAGCAGAACAAGTTTGGAAGTAAAATTGAACACAAGATTGGCACTTCGTATTGGTCGGCAGTACGGTACAGCCGTGGGGATGAAATGAAGATCCACTAGACGGACAGACAGAAAGAGAGGGAGACGCAGACCTGTAGAAGTAAAGGTAGCAAATTGGACTGCTGCCAAAATGAACACAATATTGAATATTGTTGCTGTCGTCGTCATCCTTGTTTACAACAAATAATCCTACTTCAGCCAAACTGCAGTCGTCATTAAAATGAGCCAAGTATCCCACAAGGCAGCGGGTTAAAGTATTGGCCTAAGAACAATTGTTCAGTTTAACAAATAAAGAAGGTAGGAGTGTTTTGTGTTAGAAAAGGGGACGTAAAATGAAAAAGGGAGCAATCGATTTACTTGACATTAAGTGAAACATAAATGATACCGTAAAAAAAAGATGTAAAACGTGAAAGGCCTGACAGTGCAAAGCAGAGATAAGCATTGAGAAGTAAATAAAAGAAGGCAAACAGAAGAGAAGTAGAAGGCAGTAACGACAAATTAATAATAATGAGTGGTACTTATAAATATGGAAAAAGAGTTTGATGTGAAACAAGGATGACATGGACGGAAAGTGATATGAAAGGCATAAGAAGTGAGAAATTACAAATATTCCTCACCTAAGCAATGTGCGAAGCCATATGAAATGCGAGATTGGCGGTTGGATTTGTGAGAAAAACATAATCCATGCCGATGGAATAATTATCCACAAGAAAGAGACAAATGCCGGTTTAAAAAAAGAAGATAAACGTAATTGTCGTGAAAAAGACGAGCCGATTGTTAACCGAAATTAGCCCTTTCTCCAACACACAATACGTCCGCAGCCAAATAGATAACTTAGCAGTGTTTTATGCTAGAAAAGGAGGAAAAAAGGAAATAAGAAGCAATCGCTGTACTTGACACTAAGTGAAATACAAATGACACCGTATAAGTAGAGAAAAAAGTGGTAATCACGTGAAAGGGATGGCAGTACAAAGCATGGAGATAAATACTAAAAAGTAAATGAAAGAATGCATACAGTAAAAGATAGAAAGTGACAACGATGAATTAATAAGCGTGGAAACAGGTTGCGACGTGAAACAAAGATGGTGTGGTAAGAAAATTGACACAAAAACCATAAAAGGCGATAAATTAGAAATATATTTTACCTAAGCGCTGTGCGAAGTGATATAAAAGGCGAGATTGGCAGTTGGAATCGTTGGAAGATCATCATCCATGCCCATGGAATAATGGTCCATCAGAAACAGAAAAACAGTTTTTTAAAAAGGGTCCGAGAGGTGATAGTGGTGAAGGAGGGCCGATTATTAAACAAAATTAGCTTTTTTTCAACACATATTACGTCTACAGCTTAACAAAAAAGAACGTAGTAGTGTTTTATGCTGGAAAAGGAGAAATAAAAGGGAACAAGAAGTAATCGCTGTACTTGACATTAGGTGAAGCATAAGCGATACCGTAAAGAAGAGGTAATAACTTGAAATAGTTGATAGTACAGAACATAGAAATGAACACTGAATAGTAAGTAAAGGATCGTAAACAGAAAGAAGCAGAAGACGGTAAAGACAAATTAATATTAATGAGAGATACTTATAAGCATGGAAAAAACTTTGATGTGAAACAAGGATGATATAAAAAGAAAATGATATAAAAGGCATAACAAGTGATAAATTACAAATATTCCTTACCTAAGTAATGTGCGAAATCATACAAAACGCGACATTAGCGGTTGGAACTATTGGAAGAACATCCATGCTTATGGAATAATGGTCCATCAGAAACAGACAAACGGTAGTTCAGAAGGATCCAAGACATAACTTTCTTGAAGAAGAGCTGATTGTTAAACAAAGCTAGCCTTTTCTTCAACATACAAACCGTCTGCAGCCAAAATGCAGGCACGAGTTAAATGAAGAACGAATGCAAAGCAAAGGAAATTTGGAGCTGTTACTTAACGATTGCTTAGTATAACAAGCAGGAGTAATTGAGATTTTTGTTAAGAAATAAGAAAAAGATTAAAAACGCAGTATCGGACGATACATAAAGCAAAAACAATGCTAAGATTAGGCAATTAAAACAGCCATTTATCAATAAAAGTTGCATGGGAAAAGATAAATAACCAAAGTCAATAAAATAAAACAAATGATTGGTACTAAGACAAAAGTGTAAGACAAGTAAATATCATCGTGAGAAATAAAGTATTGAACAGTGACTACTTGTGTGAAAGAGGAATAGTTTGAGAGAAGGAGGGGGCAAGTAAAATCAAATAGTGATAAGAGAGCATTAATATATGTGGGTAGAAAGGGCAAGAACAACCTGAATGGCCCCTATTGATGTCTATAATGCTGATAGGGTAAGCAAGGGAGCACTGCTATGTAAGGTGATGGAGTGATGGTATGCGGGGCTGTGTCGCTGACACAGCTTCTCTTCTTGGTAAGGTGGTAAGTGGCTAATGTAAATGTGAAATAAAGCCAGATTGATACATTGGCTGGTGCAGAATGGCAATGTTGATGGGGAGAAGGAGGGGGAAGAAGAAGATGAATGAGAGTGATGATCTGATTGGCGAATGCGTTTGGCATGAGGATAATTGATAATGATCCAAATAATTATGCTGATAATAATAACAACAATAGGAAGAAAAAGAGGAGGACTAAGAAGGAGATGACAAAGTAAAATGCATGAGGTTGATGAGATAATTAAATGTGTTTGCATGAGAATAAATCTTAGTAATGATAATAGGAGTAATAATAATAATAATAACAGGTGGAGATTGAAGAGAAGTGTATTGGTGAGAAAGTGGATGATGGAGCAGAAATAGTGGGTTGTTAATGTGATAGGAGAATGAACGTGTTTGTACATGCGTAAGGGCATATGTATGTGGGTACAGGACAGAAAAGGCATGAGGAGAGGTGAACAGAGAGAAGAAGTAATGTGGACTACTCTGCGGACTTGAGTAGTGTCCCATAGGAGGCGGGATGAGTGACAGTTAGCCAGAGAGGTGGAGAAAGGCATAGTGGAGGGAATGATGTAAGAAAGGGTAGGGAATGATGAATCGAGGAGGCGCAAATGCAGGTACAACCAAGTGTGGAGTTGGGGCGAGGTCTGTTGCGGGGGTGAGCGGTTCCACGCGCGGGCTCCAGTGGCGTCTGCGGTGATCGGATGCCACTCCCAGGCCACCCAAGGCCACGAGGGACTGGGCCTGCGGCATTGATCCCAGCCGATGGGGTTCTGGAAGGGCTCTTGGCCTTCCAATTGGTTAATGCGAGCAACTTGACTGGGGTTTGTGCGTACCGTAACTTTACCCAGGTCATTATATTTGCTGGCTGGTCAAGGCTTGTCCCGTAACCTTGACCATAGCCAACAGCATGCGTCTATGGTCTCGGGATTTTTTTTCCTAAATAAAAATAGTATCATGATGGGCTTGATGCCCTTCATTATAAGGTGCACCATTCATCGAAAGCAATGTGTTTTTAAAAGTGATTTTTTTTCAACGCAAAAGCCTTAGAAATTTGAAAGTTTTAAAGAGTCCTTGTCTTTTAATTCCGAAAATTGCATCCCATTACATAAACCTATTTCATTTCTTGAAGTACACTTTTAGTTTGTCTCATGATTTGTTTTAGAAACATGCAAGAAATAACGACAGTCCAACTGAATTGTGAATTGAGCTAATCGTGCTGTAGGATATCGGCATTACGTGTTTATACTTATCTAGAGGACAGGTAGCATTTAGCGAGTTCCCTTCCATCTTCTCCCTTCAAGATAACCAATCTTCACACTTAAATATAAAAGATGATGCAATAGATACTCGTAAACTTAATCTATCAATTTCTGACGCATGAAGCATTCATTATAAATTGATCAATGACACATGTCACATATTCGTGACAGTCGGTCTGGAAGTCGCACACGAGTGGCACCCATACAGAATATGCTAAACGTAGGCCTGCTGCTAATAGTTTGGCAAGCCCCATAAAATTGTGACGCAAAGGCGCGACAAATTACCTATTGCGGTCAATGCATGATGCGTGGGTATGGATGAATGTACACATATCCGCCGTCCGTTGAGAGTCCTTCGGTTGACATTGCGTACCCCATAGTGTGGTTGCCATGCATGGAAGATGAGTAGATCTGTGCAAAAGGCTCGGCGTTGATTATTTGTGTCTTTTGCTTGTGCTTAAATGCAACACTTTAATTAGCGTTTTAATTCTTTCTTGACTGCTTTTTTGAGTTCAATTTCCACAAAATAAGGTAAAGCTCTGATTGGCTGTTTAGTGATACTTTACCTGACATGAAAGACGGCCGAAGTTCTTCCTTCTTTTGATCTCTAAAACAAAGGATCACAGGCACTTGTATGATTAAACACCTAAATTGCGTATAAGTCTAGATTGATACGAGCCCAACGTATTTCTGCACCAGTTGAGCCGTCGACTTCAATGCTTTTAAATTTATCCATAGTCTACTAACTTTCAGGCCTTTTGTACCCGGGCATAGAAGATGTCAAAAATCCTTCCTTTTAACGAGCCTAATAACAGAAGTTCTAAAATTCATTCATTTACTGGGAACATATGTGTCATTTAATGTCATATAACGGCCAGAATTGTTGTGACTCCCTGCAAAGTAGGAGAATGACAGGAGCCAAATTTCGATGCACTTGTAGACAGCAATCAAACTAGAAGTGCACACTTTCTTTGCGTGCTATCGCATACACCAGTGGCATTTATCAATAGATTGGCGTCTGATTATCTGAGGGCAACATTTACCACTATTAAGGCATCATGCATCACGCGCCCACTGCATACACCCTACACACTCTTGATACAATGGCAAGTCTCTCAATGGGCAAGTTCGGAATACACGCAACTGTATCGCAAATCGAAGCACAGATTGGTAAAACGGAGATGTAGCATAACCTTTAATGCAAGGAACTGGAAAGCATTTGCAGATTAAATTCGCAAACAGAAAGGAAGAATTTGGATTGGTGACCCCTAATATGTGCCAAAATTAAAAGGAAAGCGTGGGTCTGGACAGCTCTTATAAATAAAGTGAGATGGACGAAAAAATGGCGAGAATCCGTAAGTTGAAGAACAGTTTAAGCCTTCTCGTGGAAAAAATGCTTTTATAGCGGGAACTAGTACATTGTGTGAGGCGCTACTTCCCGACGATGGACGAGGAAGAGCATAACGCGGTATGCTTTGCGATACCACCAAGCTAACGCACTACCCACGAGGCTTGTACTACTCGTCACTCTTTAATCAATTTACCTTCTCTTCCAATTTAGTCTTTTCCACGAGACGCCTTACTTTAAATATAGTTCTGGTGGTAATGCAACTTTGGCATTCATCTGGACCACATGGGCAACCCTATCGCGTATCCACTACTTCCTCCTAAATGGTAGTACATCAACGAAAATTACGTGTGTTGTAGAAAAACAATTGTTTGCATCATACATCAACTAGAATAGGCGCAATCTATTTCGCAACAGACAAGCCACAATTTCTGATTGTTGACTAAGCTAAAGCCTTGGAAATCGAACAATGTCAAGGTGTTCTCTCCTCTAATCACAGTGCACAGGCAGAATTGCAAGACACCTTGCAGCCAAAATTATCTTCAACCTTGCCATTTTGTACAGAAAATGTTGGATAATCTGGTGTCTGTAAGCTGTGTCTTGATGTTCATGTTGTTGTGGAAGAAAAAAGGACACGGAAGCTGCCATCTATGCATCTGATTCAGTGTTCTTCTCTTTTGCCTCTGCAGCCATAGCATTGGAACCAGCAGACTAGTCTGATGAAAACATTCAACTGTGTCTTCATTTGATCGAACTGCCATTCGTCCACAGGGGCCAATGACGTGGGCTCAGTCACTAATGCTGTAAGTACTGACCGAATTTTGTCAAAATAAGCGTTTAACCAATCGTATATTGCATGCCTACTCCGAAATTTTTTAGAATTAAGCACAAATGAGTAACAAGTAGGATTGGTGAGACACGGTTTTATGCATCGACTGCACTGTCTCCGACCCTTCGCTTTCAGCGCCTCAATGATGACCAGCAATTCTGGGCATTGGCACCTGACCATCACACTCGAGAAGGATTGGACATTTAGCAGATGTCTTTCCTTTTTTCTCTTCCGATACTAAGCCTACATTTAACGCAAATAATACCTTCGGGCAGGTGCCGCATTGCATCATGTACCACTAACTTAGTACATTTTAGGATACAACTCGTTAGAAATGGCATTTTGCAATTTACGAAAGACTGCAAAATGGGTGCTGCATTAATTTGGTGAAGACAATGGATCTGTGTTTAACCCATGACAGTTAAACCTGGTAGGAGGCGATACCATTTTGTTTCCTTTCTACGTCTTCTTTGAGTTGGCAGTCAAACGGCAACCGCTGATCAGCGCATTTGTAGAAAAACATATAGGAGTAAGCAGCTACTGGAGTTAATGTCCAGGCGATTCATTCACTGCTCACTGCATGCTTCCATGCAAACACGTATCCTGAAGGTTGAAGAGATGGTGACATAAGAGGAAATACTTTGATGATGACATTTATGAGAATGCTTACCACATCAGACCTGTCTAGTGACTGTTTCATGGTTTTTTGGCACCAGTGAGGAGAACTCATGCTGTCAAATGTCGTTCGACCCTCATCAAGGATTACTCTATCAATAAGGCGTCGGTAGGAATAATCATTGTTGAACGTTAAATGTTGCAGAGGTCTTGAAGAGTCTTTGTTTGACTCTATGGGTGGATGATAATGTAAAATAGAAAACAATCAGAATCTACTTTGGTGCTATTTTGGACCATCTAATGCCACCTGTCAGGTTAGATTTTTCATGCTCGCTGTCGGAGTAGAGTCTTAGGTTAAATTTCTGGTTGAATGGTACCATATCACGCAAGGCTCCACAAAAGTGACTAATTTGATAAATATCATCCAGTTGATAAATGAGCCTGCTTAGTAAGGATACAATTAGAGGCACCTAACCACCTGATGAGTGCAGTGGCTGCCTACAAAATGATGGAATGACCACAGACAAATGTCGACGCATTTGAAGAGAACAATTCAATAAAAGATGTGCAACTCTTTTATGTGGGGCCTTGGGTATTGGTGGTAATTATCAGTGGATTGACGTCTAATTCTCTGAGACTGAATGTTGCACCCTGGTTTTTGACTTCATTCAAGCATTTTTAATCTCTCTTCATCTCATTTGTAACACCTACATTGCGTTCCGAAAAATGGATAATACCAGCGTTTTCCTGAATAATTAATTGTTTGAGTGAATTTACATGATACAGACATCAACCAATATGCTTCTGTTACATTCCAAATTTAATTGGGGCGAAAAGACATCAACATCTACTGGTGTGTTCTTTGGAATAAGGACTGAGCCTCTCCATTATCGTCTCACCTGCAGACATTGTTGCAAATCACATGAACTCATTATACTCGTCAAAATTTAACATTATCGTGCTATTCAGTTGTAACAGCAGAAATAAACACACTTTTTATGTTTTTTTAATTTTGATTGGGATAAATTTCTCCTCCCATTGTTTTGCGTGAAGGACACATTGAGGTATTGAGCTTAGCTGTTACTTACACCTTCCTAGTTTCTCCGAGTTTATTTCTTAGGCATGTCATGCTTCCTACGTTGGGTCCACGTTTTGTGTCTTAGCCCTTCCTTCTTGCACACATCCAACTTGCTCTGTGAATCTGTTGATTTAGCAATCTTTGCAAAAAATGAAATGAGTTTGAGCACAGTAGTGCAATTTGTGAACTTTCTGGTAAGGAATCGCGCTGTAATATCATTAATATCCTCTAAGTTGTAATATTTTTTTAAAGCTCCTGGATTGCACAGTACAGGCTAACCCTCGGGAATGCATTACATTTACTAAACGATGTATATCTTAGCAAAAGGAACTAAACACGGCACGCAATGTAAATGCACCAAAGGAAACCTCCCTCACTTATTTTTAGCAAAGCAAACAAAGTTGTGGTCTTTGGTCATTTCATTTTACTACTCTCAATTAAATTATTTGTCATTGACGAAAAGTTATTTGAATCAAGTGGAAGGGAGACTCACCTCAAAAAACCATTCTTTTTAGATGCTGACGACATAGCAGTAGATTCTC